GCAGGGCACTCACTGGGGGCTTCGTGCTCGCGTGAGCATGGCAGCTTGTCCCAGTGGTGCCTGTTGCCGTGGGTGCCGAAGCCTGACCCAGTGGGTGCTGAAGCCTGACCCCACGTGCTGCTGCGTTCAACACCAAATCATGAGTGAGACAAGCCAGGGAGCAAAATGCAAATTACGGCAGCGGATCCTGAGGCGAAGGCTGCGTATCCCGGCTGAGTGATGCCTCTGACAACAGTAAGGGTGGTTGTCGGCCGTCAGTGGCCGTGTGAGCTGTTTCCTGGCTTGTAAGGAATTGGTACTGCAGCAACCATAGGCTGGGCAGAGGCTGAGTAGGAGGGGGAAGGCTCAAGAGGAGGTGGGTGCTGGCACAGCCTGTACCATGACTAATGCCAACACCCATGACAGCCTCTGCCATGTCTCCTCGCAGAGGTTTCTCCTCTGTTGGCAGCGATTCTGGCCACCAGCCCTGAGTGATGCACTGGAAATGTCTTGATCTGCAAGCCTTGCGTGTCTCCCAGTGGGTTCTAGAGCTATGTGCAGAGGGGAGATGTCTCTGGGTTGGCTTCTCTGTGGCTCATGTTGCTCCCAAGTTGGTCCCTGGCTGCTTGGGAATCTCCAGCAAAGCTGTGGAAATCCTCCTTTGCTTTCCTGTGCTGCCTGGACTTTCCAGCAGCCCTTGGTGGGCTGCAATGCACCTCTGTGATGCTTTTCCATCTTCCCCAGTGTGTGCCTGGGTTTCCTTTTCATGTCTCACCCTGTTTTCAACAAGGAGGACTGGGCTTTGTTCTCCAGGTGAAACCAGCCTCATGCTTTTCACGTGAAGTCAGAAACCGCAGCTTTAAGCAAAGCACGTAGGGTTGCAAAACAGTCCGAGCTGGTGGCAAGGTAGAAGGGATGTGCTCTCGGGTTTGGAGGGTTATCCCTCCTTGCTCAGGGGCAAAGGGATGGAGAGCTGGGGCTGAACCTTTGCAAGGGACTGAAGCAAAGAGGCACTTGCACCCCCTGAAAAACCTTTGTTTAATGGAGATATTGCCATGGTCTTGCTTTTCCTCAAGCACCTGGTTCCTTCCCCTGTCTCTACAGAGGCCCAGCAAGCTTGTGTTGGGGGGACTGCGGATGCTACATGAACAGAACTGCTGGAGACCTTCCTTAAATGGAGTGAAATTCCTTTCATGTGTTAAGAATCATAGAATCACAGAATGGTTTGGGGGGGAAGGGACCTTAAAGCCCACCCAGTCCCACCCCCTGCCATGGGCAGGGACACCTTCCATAGCCCAGGTTGCTCCAAGCCTCATCCAGCCTGGCCTTGAAGACATCCAGGGATGGGGCATCCACAGCTTCTCTGGGCAACCTGTCCCAGTGCCTCACCACCCTCTCCGTGAAGAATTCTTTCCTGATATCCAATCTAAACCTCCCTGATTTCAATTTAAACCCATTACCCCTTGTCCTGTCACTCCCTGCCCTTGTAAAAAGTCCCCCCCAGCCTCCTTGTAGCCCCTTCAGGCACTGGAAGGCTGCAATAAGATCTTCCCAGAGCCTTCCCTTTTCCAGGCTGAACCCCCCAACTCTCTCAGCCTTTAAGACAGAAGTTTTCTGGATTGTTGCAACATGTTAAAATAGTTGGGTTTTCCTCCCTGCCAGAAAAAAAAAAAAGAAGAAATTTTTAAAGCCGTGCAGTAATTACCTGCTAATGGAAAAGATACTCAGGAATGAGAAATAGACTGTGAAATCCTCTTAGTGCAAAGAAATTGCTGGTAGGCATGTTTGGGAAATAATTGCATCCATTCCCCCTTCTTAATTGCAGCAAATACGTACGAGAAGGGCACGCTGTGGTGTAAGGGTTTCACCTGGTGATCGGCCCCTGCAATGGGAAAAGAAGAGCTGGTACTACAAAGCGCCAGTAGAATTCACTTTTTTCAGTATCCAAGAGGGTGCTGGATCCGTACGGCCGTAAGGAAGGGTGGGCGGGAGCGTGGGTGCGTGGGCTGGACGTATGCAGAGATGCCGCTGCTGGTTTCAGGGGAGAAGCTGGGAAAACGAGCTGTGACTGGGTTATTGTGCACTACAGGTAAATCTGGTTTGAGGGCGCAGGAATTATATTGGCCCTTGCTCTGTCTGCTGCAATAAAGGTGAAATGGCTGTTTCTGCTAAGGGTGTTGGAAGGCTGCTGGTTGGCAGTGACAGCCTCATTAAAAATGGGGTTGAAGAAGCTTGGATGTTTTACAAAACCCCCAGTCTCTCTTTTTTTAAGTGCCGCTGCCGCCGTTTTGGGCAGGCGAGAACAGGCAGGAGAACGTCAGGGATTCCCAGCCGTGACCCAGGCTTGTGCCCATCCTGGCGAGGTGACGGTGCTTGCTGGGTGCCAGGGTTTGGTCTGGATTACATGCAGCCTCTCCGCCCGGATGAAATGCAGCACAGAGCAGGGGTGGGAAGGGGCCCCTGCTCAGCCCCACACCTCCCCGTGTAAGGATGCCGCTGGCTTTGCCAACGTTGGCTTCGCTCACTGGGCTCCAGTCGGCATTTACCCCGGGGTTTAGGGTCTGCCCCTGACTGTGCATTGGGGAAGGGGTGTTTTCGTAAGGGGGAAGAACATTAAGCGCCCTTCTTGTTGGGTAAGGGCAGCATGGTCACGTGTGGTGTGGGAGACGCTCCACGGACACCAGCCCCAGGGAAACATTAAGGATCCCAGAGACACCCCTCTGCGAGCGACACTGTGAGGCTTGTGCCCCCCTTTCCACTCCCCCCAGCCCTGCATGGGGCCATCCTGCCTGTGTTTGAGTCAGGCCCTGGGTGCTTGTTGGGCTGACGCAGAGCTGCTGCCAGAGGATCCTCTGATTCATCCCCACGGAGGGCTCACACCCAGGCCGGGCTTCTTCTCCCGGCTGTTGATGGCACCGGTGGTGCTGGTGTGGGCTGGGCCCCTCCATGGGGTGCTACGGTGGCCGCCCCTTCCCACTATGGGATGGGTGTGAGGCATGCCAGGCTCCTGGATCCCTTCTCCGGTGCCAGGGTGGATGGGGTTTAGAGCAGCAAAATAAGGGGGATGCCCAGGATTCCCTGCTTGGGGTGGTGCAGGGAGGGTTTGGATGCAGCTTTTGGGTGCATCTTCGGGTCCAGGGGTGCAGTGGAAGGAGATGGTGGGATGCAGCTTTGGGGATGCTGACCTGCCCCAGCCCCATGCTTCACTGTGTCGCTCACAGAGGGGTGTCTCTGGGATCCTCAATGTTTCCCTGGGGTTGGTGTCTGTAGAGCATCTCCCACACCACAGGTGACCACGCTGCCCTTTCCCGATGGAAGGGGCTTAATATTCCTCCCCCTTATTAAAGGGGAAATTAAGGCATAGAAGGGGTGTAGATCCCTGCCCATCCCTGAAGAGGAGTGAGGGGGAGGGTTAAGTCACAAGGTGCAGAGTTCCAGTTTCAGCTTCCTAGCTCTGCTGCTGCTCTGTGTGACCCAAACTAAGGGCTTTTCCATCTCCTTCTCTCCTCGTGCTTGTCACCAACCTCTTCTGTTGAGAACCGGGATTGGGGGGGACACAAAAGAAAATGAGGGACAAGGGTCTGCTGCTACCCAGGCTTGTGCAGTGCCACAGCCCGGATTGCAAATCTGCTTAGGCGTGCTAAAATATCGGTGATGCTGCCAATCCTCCCTGGCAGTGCCATGCGAAGGCGGTAGAACCCATCGGACTGGGATTGAGATGCGTGTGGGATTGGGAGCTCCTGGGCAAGCGTCTCCCACCTCCTTGGGGGTGCTCAACAGACACCTCATCTTTGCTGCAAGAAGAGGGGCTGTGATGGCAGAGCTTTGCACAGGGCTGGATTTAGGGAGCCAGTGGGAGGGACGGCTGGGACGGTGCCAGCGCGCAGTGTCCCCATGCCTAGGTCAGCAGCGAGGTGCTTTGGCAGAGGGTTGTGGCAGAACTGGAAGAGCAGGGCTACAGCGGAAGGTCAGGGTGAAGATGTGGGTTTGGCACCCGGCGAGGGGGCTGGGGAGTGTTGTGGGTCAGTTTTTGAGGGCACCCGTGGAGGTGTCTGGGAGAACTGGTATGGCAGAAAGCTGTGCCTGAGTCAAACTGGCGAAGCGCACCAAGGAGTGCTGCTGGATCCTCCCAGCTCCTGCAGGCTCCGAGATGGGCTTCAAATAGCCCTGGATCTGGCACCCTGTTGTGAGGCACCTCCTGCCTCACTGCAACACTGGTGCCCATTTCTCCTTCTTGGGATTAATGACTGTCACCTCCCAGACCACATGCACGTGGTGCCAGCTGCCATGGGATTTGGGGTCCAAGCACTTGCTCTTGCCCTGGCTCTTTGGGATGGCTTTGCATCCAGCTCAACCCATTTTTGCTTCTAAAATTTAATAACTGAGCAGGTTTCTGCCCATGATTTTTTTAATATTTCTTTTATTCACAATAAATAATATATTACAAAGATCTCAACACAAAATCAAAAAATCATGCTCTTTCTGCAGCCATGAATAAATAGGACTCACCAGCTAATGCAGGGAAGAGCATCTAGGAGCAGTGTGGGTCCTCTGGCTGGGAGAAAGCGGGGGATTTTGCTGCACGCACCTGCCCAAAGTGTTCATTCTTCTTTGCTGGTATCTACGCAGGCCATCAGATGCAGGGGTGAAATCCCGCGTGCACCAGAACGTGCAGTCTCAGGCCTCTGAAAATCATGCAAAACTTGCACCTAGAAGGGCAGGGATGCAGCTGAGTGGATGTAAAACCACAGCTGAGAGGCCGCCCTGGGCTGAGACTCCTTCGCGGGGCTTAGCTGGCTGCGGTCAAGCTAGGAGAGGTTCTAGTGCTGACGCTCACGTAGAGGGGTTATATACACAGACACTGCGATACTCCTTTCGTAGTCACAGGTGGTCTTTGAGTTACAAGCTTTTGCTTAAGAGTCTACTGAAGCTGGATGTGTTCATTGCCTGGCTTTGGTGCACACAGGAGCCCCTGGGCAGGGCTTCTTCCCCTCCTGTTGCTCAGTGTTCTCCAACTGTTCCTATGGTGGCGTCAACTCCATGGACTTCTTCCTCTCCTCCCTCTGCTCTTCCCACTCCTCCTCTGACTCGTAGGTACCCTTAACGATGGCAATCCTATCCGACATGTTCATGCAGTATGGGACGAGGATGTAGAAGTAGAGCAGAGCGGCCAAGCAGGCCCCGAGGATGGGTCCAACCCAGAACACCTAGAAAGCAACAAAGGAGAGGGTAAGAGCAGGTCCTGGAGGCTGGTGCACAAGGCCCAGCCATCACACCGGCATCCCTTGCTGCCCCACATCTCCTAGTCTGTGGAGGGGTGCAAATACCTCTCCCAGTAGACTTCTTGGGCTGAAATCCCCTCAACTTTTGCTTGTTGAAGACATGACGCTCTTTATGAGTGCAGAGATGGGGTGTGCTGGAGGGGGGCATGAGCCTGCTCTGCAAGGCTGGGTCTGAGCTTGTGGCAGTGCTGGGTGAGCAGAAAGCCCAAGCTGGGCTTCTCTGTGGGCTTTATCATTGTGCACCATTGCATGGGGGGGTTATGCTTGTCCCCTTTCTGGGTCTGTGCCAAGGGGATAATCTGTTGCCCATGCATCAAGGGGAACAACCTCCCTCATTCTCCAGCCCTCTTTTTGTCCCTTCAGGCTCTGAAACACCCAGCCCTGTAACCCCAAGGCAATCACTGCCCTCTGCCCTCGTTGCCTCCCTCTCGGCCAGCCCATCCCAGCACGCTGCCTATGCTTACCCAGTGTGCCGGGCTGAACCTCCTCACGATGACCGCAGGCCCAAAGGACCGGGCTGGGTTCATGGAGCAGCCGGTGAAGTAGATCTGTCAGTGGAGAAAGGAGACCAGGTTAAGATACATCATGTTGCTTAGCAGATACAACCAACATTTCAGACGCAGGGACTGAAAACGTCCCCAGCGCTGTTTCTCATGCAGAGAGGTGAGGATCCCCCCATCATAATGGAGAAGAAACCCCCATATGTCCCATGTTGGCTCTCCCAGTGCAGCGCCATCTGGGACCAACTACACAAGAGTGGTTTTGGGGAGCTCTATCCTAGTGGGACCCTCTGCCCTGTCCTCCTGCCTGGACACTCACCCCCACCAAGTGGCCTACGGCAACGGAGAGGCCAATGGACAGTGCTGGGGAGCCCACGTTGCCGTTCCTCCGGTTGTCTGTGGACGCAAAGATGCACGCGGCCAGCTGGAAGGTGAGGATGATCTCCACCACGAGGGCCTGGCCCGGGGTCGTGTTGTTGTTGAGCTGCAAACCATCAAGAGTGACAATAATTAACCATCTCTGGGCTTGGTGTCACTGGGAGGGCTCTTAGGTGCTTTGCGGGTGGATTTGGGTTGGCAAAGCCATGCACGAGAGTCCCCCTAGATCCCCTGCCCAGCCCTGGGACACAAGGGGCTGCTCTAGCCACTGCTTGGCCTTGCTGCTCCTTTCCCTGAAAGGGAAGAAATTAACTTTCTTTCTATTTAATGCTCCAAAATCTCACCCCTGAGCCCCTCCCTTCCCAGGCCTCTCCACATTTCTCTCTGCTTGCATGTCTCTGCAACACTCAGTACCTTCCCACCAAATCCCACACTGCTGCGTCCCTTTGCTCCTGCATTTCTTTCCCCCTTGATCCTTGCAATCTGTCATATCCTGACTTTTCTCCCCTCTGCTTTGTGAAGCATCTCCCCAGGAGGCTGGGGAGCAGACGGCAGCTGCCACGGAGGGGCACGGGATGAAGGGTGAGGGTGGGGATGAAGGTTGGGGTACAGTCGTGGGGGTAACCACTGTGGACTGTCAGGTGGACTTGACCCCACTGGGCATGGGAAGGGCAGTGACCCAAGCCACCAGATCTCGGTTTATAGCTAAAGTTGACTGGTTTGGGACACGGAGCATGTTGGAATAAGATGCCTTGCAGCACCTCATCCTAGCGATCGAGCCCTCTGCAACGTGCTGGTGCTGCTCTGAGGGGTCTAGACCTGGCCATGGTTGGAGCGGTAGCTCCATTGCTCCCTTTTCAGGTGGTTTCCCAGCACTGCCCCAGGGGTTTGAGACATGCTCCTTGTCCCTGCTTATCTCAGAGGGTCACACCATCTCCCCTCCTCCTCCAAGAGCAGTCCCTGCCCTCATAGCCTCTCTGCGCTCTCTGGCACGTTGCTTCTCCTTCAGCTCTTCTCCACTTCCCCGCTCCATCCACCTCCATTTCCGAGCTCCCCCAGCGCACTCGTTACAGTGGGTTTCTGCTCCCCCTGCCCATACTGGTTTGACTGGGATCTGTCTCTGCCCTCCCCCTCTCCATCCTGGCATGGCTCCTATCCTGGCACTAATCTCCAGGTGGAGAGGCTGCAGTCAAGAACATCTCAATGGTGCGGGTGACTCACTCGGGCCCTTAGGATAAAGGAAGCACTTATTAAAGGAGTTAAAAAACATGCCATTCATTACCCTGCACAATAAAGCTGTCATGTCAATACTCTGCTGGCCGTGCGGGTGTTTGCTTCTATCCTATTCCTGCCCCTCTGTGCATGCAGGACAGTGTGCCAAGACCAACCACCCTCACGGATTTGGCTCTCCAGGTTAGTGCTGGTACCTGCTCCTCGCTCACAAGGAAGAGAAAGCCTGTACGGGAAGGTGAACCATCTCTGGGTAGGGAGACTTACCGCATTGATGGCCAGGTTGCCACGGGTGTTGACCGGTGTCACGCCATAGAGGATGCCAGCCCCGGCGATGGCTCCGACCAGTTGGGCAATCACGTAGAAGAGTGTCCGGAGGAAGGAGATCTGGTTCCCGACAAAGAAGGCGATGGTCACCGCTGGGTTAATGTGGGCGCCGCTGATGTGGCCAAATGCCTGCACCAGTGTCCCGATGGCTAGGCCAAACGCCAGCGAAATCTGAAGGATGCTGGGGAGGGCAGACGGCCACTTCAGGGCTGAGCCGAGGCCGATGAAGACGAAGATGAGCGTGGAGATAAACTCAACAAAGACCGATCGAGCAAAGGCCAGGGTTAATATTTCCTTCTTCATGGTGGGGGCGGGTGGAGGGCAGCTAGGAAGTAAGGAAGTTGAGGTTATTCTGTCTCCAGGCTCTTCTGTCTGCACCCAGTTGTAGGGCCATACCTATCTATATATGCAAGAGCAGCAGAGAGCTGTGTTACAAGGCGGTGGGTGGAGCCAGGGAATTAGCCAGTCCTCCCAAATTATCATGTGAAACTGGAAAAGTTTCCATCTGAAAATAACTTCAGAGCCTCTTGGTGAACCAGTGACTCAGATATTGGTGGCATTTCTTTCGCCTGCCCTCTGCAAACAAAGAGCCCCTATAGGGTGTCTCTGTGGTCGTTAGATAACGTGGTTGCATAACGATGCCATGCTCCCTCCTCTGCTTTTCCCTTTTACAATCTCTCGCCAGGTTCTGGGTGTTTCATTAGCAGAGGTGTAGTTCATATTGCCTTCCTCTGTGCACTCACAGACTGGAGAGGACTGTATTTTTGTTTGAAAAGGCTCATTGCTGGTGCCAGGCTGGAGGAGCTCTCCTGGGGCAGGGCTCCCAGGGCATTCAATTTACACGGGATGTTGAAATGTAAAGCAAAGCTAAGCACCCGGCACTGCTTCCAGGCTGTCAAGACAGCTCAGCTCCAGGAAACAAGTGGTCCTGGGAGCAGGGCAGGGTTTGGGGGATGCTTTGCCTAGCAGGGGAGCTGTAGACAAGCTGGTGCCTGGATGGAGGCTGAATGGGATGGTGTAGCTCAGATAAAGAGGGCTGACAGCTGCGGAGCCTGACTGTGCACCCCCTTGCTGCTCTTTACAGAGCATCGGGTGTGGGTTTCGCCAGTGCGTGGGTTGGCGGTTGGGGGGTGCTCACTGCCTGTAGCCAGAGAGGATGTATCCTACCCCTGTCATCTCGGGTCCTTTTCTTCTGACTTTCAAGCTGTTGCTCAATGAGGTCAGTGATTTTGCTCTTGGGAATGCCAGCATAAAGCCACAGGCTTTGCATGGACACAGGCCATGTTTACACGTCTCCTTTCATATTCCCACAGCACTGCCCTCCATCCTAAATCTATCCAGCTGCAAATCCTTGGCTGGCAGCAGAGGGAGGAGGCTCTCAGCTCTGTGCAACAGAAAGCTGTTGGGGACTGAGGTTTTGGGGCGGAAAAAGGTTCCAATGACACTGAACAATGAATTCTTGGTTCCCTCATAGTCCTTGCAGCCCTGTGCCAGGATTATTTTTTTGCTTGTTTTAATGTGCTTAGGTGCCAGATCTGGTGTCCTTGCTTGCTTGATTTCATCTTGCCTTTCTCAAGCGATGCCATGTCTCCATGCCTAACGCAGCGAGCCCAGGATGGGGCTATCCATGGCTGCCACGTGCCTCTGAAGAAGCAGTCACACTCCAGCCTGTGGTGAGCAAAGCCCTACATGCAGAAGGTGGGTAAAACCATTTAAATCCCTCTTAAAATTTAAAAAGTGCTAAAAAGTTGCATTCACTGCTGCCTTCTGCTGGGTGCAGTCAGACCTGCACACATCCTGTGGGGTCAAAGGCTGGGAGGGATTCCTCTTCAGAGGAAGACGAGGGGACTTCTTCCCCCAGAGCTGAAAATAAATGAGCCTTTCCCCTCCAGACGTGCCTGAAATCCTGAGTCCAGATCCAGACCCGGAGAGTCTCCAGGGACGGAGGATCCGTTACAGTGTTAATTCCCGATAATGATTTTCTCCTGGTTCTGCTGATCCTGAGGAAGATTGCAGAGTTAAAGGCCAGATCTGTTATCCTAGAAACACCTGGTCCGTTGGCATGTTTTGGTGAAAGTTTTGCAACTGGTATTTCAAGACATCCTGGCCGGATTCCAGCTGGAGTAATTGCTTACCACTTCCCTTCAGTCCTGCCTGTGGCTCCAGCTGGATAAAATGAGCCTTGTTCCCATCCTCCAAATACTTTTGCAACGCGCCTAGCACAGATCTCCCTTGGAGGTGGCTGCGTTTTGCTGTGCCACATGCCTCGCCTCAGCTAAAATGCAGCACTGAGCCGCAAGATGCTCTCCCAGGTTTCCAGCTGTGGATAACCACCTCCTAGAAAATCCTCCGCCTGACTGGGAGATATAATCATCGGATAAGGCTGGAAATGATGGGGAAAACTTCCAGAGAGAAACAAGATGTTTCTCTAACACCATGCCATGCAAAATCCATTTTCCCGAGGCTGTTTGCTAGACTTTCCTCACTGATTCTCTGGTGTCTAACCCTGCTGAGTGGGCGTTGGGAAGGGGCCTCTTCCTCTCGCCGGTTGCATGCCCTCCAAGGAGCTTGTGTGAACTGAAAGTGCCTTTGATGCGTCAAATTTAATTGAATTGAGCAAGGTGTTGAGAAGCCATTACACAGGTCCCGGCTGACAGACGGACACCTACGTCGTGGGGTCACGCACACCTTGTTTCCCCCTGGGCTGTTGGAGAAAAGAAGACGAGGAGGCGTTTTGCAAGGACAGGTTTAGCTGTCTCCTTTCTCCTCTTCCTTCTCTTCGTTCTCCTCCTCCTCCTCCTCGCTGGCATCAGCAGGCGAATAACACAACCAAAAATCACCCGCATCTGCCACTCAGTCGCGGAGCCACATGGCTTGGGGACGATGTGCTGGAGGGGGATAGGGACCCGAGCCCACCAGTGGGTTGAGGTGCAGGGTGCCCAGGTAGGAGGAAGGCAGTCGGTGCCTCATCCTTGCCCGGGGCCCTCCCGAGGCTCTGCCTCACCCACAGAGGCATGTGTGTTATTAACTGGATACGTGTGTTGGTCCCTGTCATCCCCAGTTTGCCGATTTCTGAGCCCACACAGGGCTGCTATTAATTCGTCACTTCGGCGGCAGCCCAGATTTCTGATGAGCCTGACTCTGTGTTGGACCTCAAAGCCTGGCAGATGGTATTGCAGGTGGCCAAATTCAGATTACAAGTGCTTCTGAGCCCCAGACCAGCCTGGTTTTTGGTTCCTCCCCCCACCTCCCCCTCCAGCTCTGTATCTCAACCAAGGACCTTAAAACCAGCACAATAATTCGAGCAGGAATAATAATAATAACAGGAGACAACTCCTTCCACTAGAATCTGTGATTACTTGGGATGAGATGGCCAGAGGAGAAAGTTTGGTTTAGTTTGTTTTTAAGAGAAAGGGTGTTTCTTGCTGGCTCAGCTTTGGGAGTTTGCAGCAAGTTACTGATGAGGAAAAAAATAATATGCACTGGAAATTGAAAGAAGAGCAAGAAGTAGCAAACTTTCCCCTCCTCATCCTCTGTTTCTGAGGCTGCTTCTTGCTGTGGTGGTAGGGAAAGGGGTGGGGGTATGGGAA